GAGGGGGTGGGGGGGGAGAAAGAAGATGAGGATGAGAAAAAAAGAAAAAGAAGTGAAGAAGAAGAAGAATTGGCAGAGGAGGAGGAGAAGAAGAATCGGCAGGGGAGGAGGAGAAGAAGAAGAGGGGAGTTGGGGAAGTGAGATAGAGATATGGGGGCTTTGGCCGAGAAAAAGGGGAGAGAAAGCAAAAAAGAAAATGAGATTTAACCAGAGGGGTAGTTTAGGAAGAATTGGGATGAAAAGGTAGAATAAGAAGATTTTTTTTTGGACGGGAAAAAAGGTAGAGTAAGAAGATTATTCTTGGACGGAGGGAGTATTATTTTCACTACTCGGTTGATTATAAACCCTAGTCATGTACGTCACATATATCTTGTTTTGCAAATTTTTATATGTTGTTTATGAATATATAATTTTTTTTAAACTTTATACATATAATCAAATAAACTAAATTGAAAATAAAATTAATCAAGTTTCGGAACACGTAATGAGAAGAATATTTTAGGACAAAGTGAATAATAAATTAGATTAAACTAGCTCTTTAGAGTAAGGATTAAAAATGAATGAATGAATTGGTCAACGGAAGCTGGTGTAATTGATGTACGGAGTTTTTTTAGAAGAATCTCAGCAGCTTAATTAGCCTTTATTTAGGTTAAGGGCAGAATCTAAATCATTTATTTAAGTCTATATAATTAACTGCTAAAAAATCATACTTATCTCTTTAACAATATATATTATGGTCCCTCCAATGTACCAAAAAGACAAGTTAAAAAAAATATGATCCCTAGCCACCAATAATATGCTTCTTTCGTCATGACTCACACAGTCATATGAGTAGAAAATTTAACTGTCTTTTTTTGGGTTGAATTTTTGGTATTCAATAATTGCTCTTTTATAATATTACCTACCACGTTTGTTTTGACATCAACTTTTTATATTGAATTATATATTTCCTCCCTCCAAAAGAATTATACTCTTTATCATTTAAAAGTTACAAAAACTTGTAATTATTTGTACATTGTTATTAATTAATTATTTGATAAAATAAAATATTCTTGTTAACTTTTGTTTTCTAGAACTTTTGATGTACTCCGAGTAGTTTTTATATATGTAAATTTTATTTTTAACTTCTATACCCATTTTTAAATAAAATAAACTTAATATACTTTAAATTTTATTTCATTTTGAGTAAAGTGTAAAATATTTTGGGACGAAAGGAGTATGACATTGGAATCATTTCAAACCTCCATAATCTTTCTCCCTCAAACCTCCACCCCTTACTTGTTCCCCATACCCCTCTCCACTTCTCTAGGCACCCCGACCTTATTTATTCTCCCTATTAAAATGTACTCCTTCCGTTCTAGAACTATCTTCCTCTTTGTGTTTATGAGGTTTGACCGACTTTATTTTCAATTTAATTTATTTAAGTGTAGGTGTAAAATTAAGAAATAAAATTTATATATTTAAGAGCTACATCAAAAGTTCTACAAAACAAGAGATGACAAAGACTATATTATTTTATCAAATAACTAACAAAAATAGGTAAAGAAAGTGATTTAAGTTTGATTGTGTGAATAGTAATTGGAAAGATAGTTTTAGGACGGAGGGAGTACTTTCTTCGTTCGAAAATTATCTTCTCGTTTACTATATACAAAGTCAAACTTTATCTATTTTGTTATCGTATCTTCGTTATTTATTTTATAAAATAATATAATAATGCCAGCAGTAATTTCGAGAAATTTTTTATGTAGTTATTAAATACGAATATATAATTTTTTGATATAATTATTATAAAATAACCTAAGTCAAACATTCTAAAGTGTAATGAAAAATTAGTTTTAAGATGGAAAAAGTACTATAAAAAATTGACGGATAATTTATCTAAATAGGATTAAAACATAATGACTTTCTCAATATAGGACCATATATTTTTATTTTCAAATGTATGACCATTGGTCATTATCTATTAATCATTATTTAACTAAATGTCCAGCATTATTTGGACATTATTCTTCTCACTAGTCATTATTAAGTCCTATTTAAGGAATAAAAAATTTTAAGTCCTACATTGGAAAATGACTTACTCCCTCCGTCCTGGAAAACATGGGAGTTTTGATTTTGAAGAGGGATTTAAGGGGAGTGTATTTTGGCATTGAATTTCCAAAAATATCCTTTGATGTGATGAGTAAAAGTATGATTTAATGGATAGATTATTAGTAAAATGATATGATGTGATAGGTAGGGTATAAAAAAGTAAGGGGTAAAAGTGACTTTTTAATAGAAATGAGAAGTGTTCTTTGGGACGGATGAAAAAAGAAAAGAGAAAGATTTTCTGAGACGGATGGAATATGTTTTAGTCCTATTCAATGCAAATTTCACTATCTCTATCAATCATACCAGAGTATCCAAAGATTTACAAAAAAAAATGCTGAGTTGATTATTTTATTTAAAAAATAAATTAGATATAAAATAAAAATAAATTAGATTTAAAAAAATCCGATAAAACTTGGTAGTATTGGTGATTTGACAATTAATTGAGAGAGGAAAGAAAGAGCAAATTTTAAAGGATAAAGCTAGTATTTGTACCCCAACTTTTGTACCCCGCGGGTTTGCACCAACACTTTGTGTTGGTGTAAAACTAATTTTTGTTAATGCACTAACACTTTGTGTCCGTGTAAATTTTTATTAACGCACAAACACTCATGTCGGTGTAAACCATCAAAATGTTTGTGTATTACTGGGTGTACAAATGAGGTATAATTTGTGGTGTAAGTGTAGCATGACCCAATATTAAAATCCAAAAAAATGCTTGAAAAGGACTAGATATGAGGGTCCCACCCAAGGATGAAATTGTCTCATGTTCCACAGCCTATATTATGTTCCTTTGCAAAATGGGAGAAAATCATGGAACCTTTCCACAGTATAATTACTTCCCTCCCTCCCTCCCTCCCTCCCTTTCTTCCCCACACCACCCCACCCCACAAGACTTAATTATATATTAATAAATTGATCAAGTTTATTTGAAGAATAAATAAATAAATATATAATGGAGATAGAAATGGCAAGCTGTGAGTGTTGTGGGCTGGAAGAAGAGTGCACACAAGACTACATAATTGAGGTCAAGTCAAAGTTTGAAGGGAAATGGCTGTGTGGGCTCTGCTCTGAGGCTGTGAGGGATGAGCTCAACAGGGTGGCGGTGATGGGGAAGAAGAAGGTGAAGAACATGGCGGCCGCCGCCGCCGCCGCGGACTTCGGTTTGCCGGACGCCGTGCGGGCCCACATGTCCTTCTGCGGCAAATACAACACATCCAACCCCGCCTTTCGCGTCGCCGACGGGATGATGCAAATGCTGCGGCGGAGATCCGCCGCCGCCGCCGCTTCTCCGCCGTCGTCTTTGCCGGCGTCCCCCTCTTCTTCCTCCTCCTCTTCAAAGAAGCTGCTCTCGAGATCGGCTTCTACAGTCTCCTTTTACTAGCTTCTCTGGGAGTAAGAGAAGCCGATGTAAAAGTAACGTACTATAGTCACACCAGGTTTGACATTAAAATTTGACACCATGTGTTTCATAGACAATTATTGTGTGAGTATAGTATGTAATGTTTATGAAACACATGGTTTATCAAACTTTAATTTCAAACTTGGTAATAGTTAAGCTAATACGGAGTAATTAAGGAATAATCAGTGTTCTAAAAAAAATGAAAAGGGTTTTTCCAAACGGAGGGAGTAATTGATTAGAGGAATGGGTAGGGGTGACTAATTGGTGTAATTGGGTTTAGTAAGGAATTTTTAGAACATTGGTATGGACAAATGCATGTTTTATGGGTTTATGTCCCATGAGGATGATATTGGTCATCTCAAGCTTGTTGTACATATTATGGTATTGGTCTATGAATGAAGCTTTTAATGTAGTTTTGGTTTTACTTATTTGTTATTCTAAAGAAGTAATTCAACCAAAAGCGGACCACAGAATCACGTGAGACGTGACCTTTCATCTAGAGTTTATATGTTTTTGATCTTCCGTACAACACGAGGCACCATCTGCCTACTCCGATACCACAGGTTTATATGGCGCGCGTACCCTCAATCCAACCCCACACTATCCATTTTGGACTAATGAGATTAAAATAACAAATTTATTAAGGTTATCCTCCTATGGGATGGAGTTTATATCCCAATATATATTGGATCATAGGGGTGGTGCAATTAGTTTTGGACCAATCATATTTTAGTTTTTAACTTTCGGGTTCACACAATACTCATAGTGTCGCACATAGGTAAAAGTTGGATACCAGGGGCAGGGGTAAAAATGGCAATCATTAAGGCAAAGTGATTAATTAGTAAATCCAAGGAAGATTGTTTTTTGGAAAAGAAAAACAGTAATTTACTTTTTAATGATATCATTTACACTTTTACATTATCTTTGTTTTTAAAAAAAGAAAAAAAGATAAGAAATTCAGTACTTGCTTTGTTTTTTTCTTTTTTGTAATTAAATGAAAGGTGTCCATTTAAACTAAGTGCCAAAGATAGTCTTTTTCTTACAAAATATTTTACAAATAGTTACTCAATCACTTTTATCACTAATGACACAAAACTTGTGGTTGACAAATACACACAAGTTTAAAACTACTACCTACTTTCTTGTATCCCAAAATGAATTTTTGTATAATGTTTAATTTGTAGTATTGTTTTTAATTCAAACTATTTAAATTTACGGGTAGAATTAAAAAACACCCCTATTTGATCTAAGTTAAGTACTTTTAATTTGATACTGGTGTAAAATTCAAAAATCATATTTAGATATACAAAATGAAATTATAAAACTTAAAACAAAAAATTACATGTTTTTATTATTATTTTAATGAATAATAATGTAAATAAGTAAAGAAAGAAACTTAAATTTATATATTTATTAGATACTCCCTCCATCGGACTATCAATGTCACTCTTCGAACAACGTGCAAAATCCTATTAATTTTAAAATTATTTTAAATATAAATTGGTTAGAAATAAAGAATGTAATTTATACCATTCAAAAATACATAAAAACTTCTACAAAATAATAGGTAACAAAAATATTTTATTTTACCAAATGGTCAATGAAAACATATAAATAAACAAATGTTATTGAGAGACCGTAATAGTAACAGGAGCATCCATCTTGAAGCGGAGAGAGTATATAAAACATTCTACAAAAAAAAAAATACTTTGTAGTATAGCTATATTATTTTGGCTCGATTATTTTGACACTGGCCACCAATGTAATATAATATATATTATGACACTGGTCAATTTCAGCACTCTACGATGCTCATCGACTCTATTTCAAAGTATGTCTAACTCTCCCAAACCCTCCCCCAATGGCACTATTTGAATTAGGTTAACATATATTCTGGTCAAAATTTTGTTCGAAATATGGGTTTATTTTTAAATGGTTGCACTAACATATGTTGAAAATTCTGTATATGACTTTATTCTAGTCAGAAAATGAAGAGGAGTAAACATTGCCTATATAAGAGCAATGTTTATGTCCCATCTTAGACTTTTTCTCAAAACGAATAACATCCTTTTAATTTTGAGTCAGAGTAAAGACTAAAAAACAATCCTAACAATATTCTTTTAATGAAAACAATATATTGTCAAAGGCTTGGCACAAAGCAAAATGTAGCCACTTTCTTGACATGAACCATATGGTGACAATATGGTCTCTATGGGTAATTAACTTGTCTTGACAATTTAGACAAATGTAGGGCTAGATGAGTCATCTTCCCAACAAGCTTTGTCACTTTTGGTTGTCAATTGGCTCACCCAATTGTTGTTTGACACACACACACACAAACTTAAACATTTGATCTCATCACTCTCCAAACACCTCAACTGCCTTCATGCTTTGGTCTCACTTATTTCAGCATCTTCTTTTTCTTTGATTAGGTGAAGTGATGAAGATTACCTTACTAATAAAAATATATAATTTTTGAAATTTATTTTAATTGTGGTTGAGTTATTTTTATTTTTTTGTTCGCTGGTTGGAACACGACTCATCAGACTCTTTGTAGATCTGAAATCCCACATTACCACGGTCCACGGAAAATGAGATATCTGTAAATGATTTGACTAAATAAAATTTGACCATATTTTTGTATTATGTGACATCGTCTAAAAGATGAGAGAATAATATGGCTAAAATCTTTGAGAGGGATCTTCAGAATTTGGTACACCATAACTAAGTGCCCCTTCAAAATGTGGCCTCTAATCAATCTTATCTTAGTAAAAGAGCACATTAATTAATCTAAATGAGAACATTGAGGTTTTGTTGGCTCTATATTTGTAATAGGGAGCATTTATTTTGTCCACCGGTACAGTGCAAAGTTGGGCACTTCTTTGTGGGCTTTCATTTCAGCCTAACTCAAAAAATAAAAAAATAGACTTTTCTTTCTTGAATCCAAACTCAATTTGAGGTTCCATTTTTCTTCTGATAATGCTAAAAACACATCACTTGCGCCCTCATTCATGACAATACAGATAATTTTATACCTACACAGATGATAATCGTCTGTGTTGTTCACAGATAATTATTATCTGTGCATGTGTAAAATCGTCTGTATTGTCAGAGGTTGGAGGCGTGGGTGTGAGAATTGTAGCACGGTCCTTTTTTTAATACAAAGTTTTCCCCTACCAATATAAGACTCAACATTTGGATTAGCAGGATATTAATTTTGATAAAAAAATATATTAAATTATTCCATGCAAATAAATCATGATGACCTCGTCTTGACTAAATTATTGTCCTCACTTTTTCACAATCATGATTTTGCAGACACTTTATTTTGTAAAATCTTAGGAAAGAATATAAGTATACATGAATGGATATAATAACATTCTTTAGAGTCCGTTCTTTAGGTCTTAAATTCTTAACTTTTCTAATTCCTTCTAGTTTTTTTCATTTTCTTCCAATAACATTCTAATAATATAACCCACAAACAACAATTTATTGAAGTAACGTATGGTGGTCGTTTGGATGTCCTTGGAGCAAATATATGGAGTTAAATTAATTTGGCGTCAAAGCCTTTGTCGGGTTCCCCCGAAGGGCATTGGACCACATTGTATTTGGTTGGAGGGTACTCTTTTGGGACATCAATATCTTTAAAGTGACATTTTGGGCTCATATTTGTCTGGCTTCTAGATAGATTTAATCATGGCCTTCGATACCTAACACTTCTAAAGGGCGGTTTGTTTCAGTCTCTTAAAGGTTCAAATGTCTGAATGGTTTAGTACTTAATGGTTCAGACTGTTTGTTTCAGCCTCTTAATGGTTCAGATATCTGAATGGTTCAGACATTTGCCTTTGAATAGTTAAGTATTATACAGAATCTGAATGGTTAAGACCTCTTATCTGAATTGATCAGACATTTGCCTCTGAATAATTAAGCAATATACTAGCTCTTAATGGTTTAGACCTCTTACTGATTCAGCACTTAATGGTTCAGATCTCTTACTGGTTCAGCACTTACCTATTCAGAAGTTGCCAAACAGCTCCTAAGCCTACATAAAAAATTGACGGTTTGAAAATAAATATTGTCGTCACATAATATTTTCAATATCCTGTTTAAAATTTTAAAAATAAAGGTTGTCGTCACATAATATTTTCAAAATGGACATTTTCTATTGTGCCATTACACGTAAATTGGGTAAATTGTGCGGATCACGAGCCGTAAAGGTCGTATATATGACTTATGAGTGAGCCTTATCTATATTATATTTAAAAATAGGAGAATTCCTCGTTGTATTTTTCCGCCTAAAAATTTCAGTCACAAAAAATAAGTACTAAAACTTGAAATGATAAGTGCAAAATGATAATGCACCCGTGCGTGTATACTTTAATAGTTTAATATGTAAGTGTCATGTATAAGGTAATTTCATAATTATTTACTCTCTCACTTTTCTTTTATAGTTATTATTAATTATTAATTGTTATGGTATCATGGAATAATAATAATAATAATAGTAGTAGTAATAATAATAATAATAATAATAATAATAATAATAATAATAATAATAATGATGATGATGATGATGATGATGATGATGATGATGATGCATCAAAAAGACAAAAACATATTATTTTTAGAATCAATTTTTTGGTGTAAAAAAGATTGAAAAATGAAAATAATTGAGAAAATTGAAAAAAATTAAAAGAAACTAGAAAGAAATAGAAGAATAACTAAATGAACTAGAAAAAAATAGAAGTTAATCTAAAGGATAGGCTCTATAATGTTATACCTGTTAAATATGGCAGATATATTATTCCTATTATTTAGAATATCTGGTTACCTTGTTTACCTAGACTTTACCTCATCCCCGTGTATGTATAAATACCCCATATTTCTCTCAGCCGCCATTTTTTTTCTCCTCCGTCTCCAAACGCCATCCCATCATCTTCAACCTACGCCTCTGTTTGCCGCGGATGAGAACGGGAGGAGAATCGCTGGATCTTCGCCGAAGTCTACATCAATCAATTTGGATCTTCTTCAGAAGTTTCGGATCTTCACTGTCCAGGTATCCTAATTTTATCAGATTCAACCTTTTTACACTGAAATATAGTATGCTCTACATATATTGATATATATATATATGCCATATCGTGGAATCTGACTTGTGTTTGGGTACTATTATCCCCTATTTTTTTTCTCTTCGAAATGATTTTTTTTATGTGAACTGATTTTGAGGGAGGGATTGGTTGTGTATAACCCACGGTTTTTCTTTGAGGAAATTGCCCTTTATTTTAATAAAGGAGGAGTTCTTTTATTTTACGCCTTTGCATATGTTGCTTCTGTTTTGAGGTTGAATTTGATTTTAAATCAAACACAGTAGCTGTTTAATACGAAGTATATCCAAAATCTCCTCTGAAATTGAAGGCTGAATTTTAAATATCACAGCCTTGACAATTCTCAATACACTTATACGAATAATCATGAAACTAAAGCATTTTAATAGCTGCAATTTTTTCTCTCTTTCTTTTCGACATGTGCAACTTTTAAATCTTATGTCATCCTAAAGCCAAATCAATAATCAAAATACTCCTCAAATTTTTGATAAATTTTCAAAGTGCCATGCTGAGTATGTTACTTAAGTGCAGAAACGGTCCACTATATTGCTATAAATTCTGGGCAATGACCCCCACTGTTTTTTTTTTCACTGAAAACTTCCAGTATGTTTTTCAAAGTGCATTTATTCCATGTGTGATCTATCTTTTACATGTGGATGCTTAAACATGATCATTTTATTTTGAATTTGAATGAATGATCACCAATCCTCATGATTTCATGCATATTGTTCAATTTCAACTTTTGGCATGCTCCTCTATATATGTCCAGGTCATTGATAATCCAGTAGATGGATGGCCTTTAAATATACACTATGTATCTTTTCAAGAAAATGATGGGATGCAAAGCTATTTGTATCAAAAAAAAAAATTACCCTACACCTTTTTTTCTAACAACACTAATGAAGGTGTATAATTTTTTTAAATGAGATATGACGGTTTTTGGCTGTGAAGATGTTCAAAGTCTTTTTTTCAAACTATTGAAATTTAACATAGAAAATCAACATGAAAGTTATATTTTTTTTCTCGAAAGAGAAAATGATGAACCATTAGTTCTTGGTCATATACCTATAAATCTTAAACGGTTGCATCTTAAGGTTGTGATTGTACACAAACATTAATACATGTGTTCATGTGAAAAAGAATAAATATTTTATTACTTGATCTCAAATGTGATAAATACTTTTGTTGATTCGTGTATATGAGAAATACAAAGTATATGACATATAAAAGAGGACTTCAATTGAAGTGTCAAATTTTATCCTCAAAGTAAATCAAATTTGATATTTATTCCAAAGTTCATAATCTCTCAAAGAGAATAACAAAATAGATATTTTTTTTAGACATGCATTATTTACCATTTTCCAGAAGTAAAATGGCCTAATGATTTTTTTTAAATAAATTGTTCAATGCATTTTATCCTCATGCAATGATATTATATTTTAATGTGGTATACTAAGTTGCATTAAAATTTGTGTGACCAATATATGTAATTGCATGTTATATGTGGTTTGAGATTACAAAAGAGTGTTTGAGAATCTAATTTCCTCTAAAGTGCTAGCAAAAAAAAAATAATCCATACACTCAATACATGGTTACATTTTTTTTCCATTGTTAGGAAAGATTTTCTTTGAAAAAAAAATCATGCTATATATTCATTTCCTGAAGTGAGTAAAAAAAATTGATTGACATGCATGAATATGATAGCCTATCACAACTATTGTGGTTATACATATGGACACATCAATGTCACTATTATAGCCACATAGAATTACATTTTTTTTTAAAAAAAACATTGATTATTTGGATCTGAATATTCCTGAAGAATATTGAATTCTGAAAAGAAATCATTAAGATGTATTATCTCCTAAATTAAATAAGAGTCATCATGTTCATCAAACATAATATATGGGTATATGAGATACCTAAGGTCTTATAATATTTAATTACCACCTGAAGTGGCTTATTTTTAGTTAAAAAAAATCTCATCATATAGACACGTTTTGATATTTCAAGACCTTAATTCTAATCTATATATGATTCCTCATCAATATTCCTGAAGAATGATGTAGTAAATATATTATAATCAAAGGAGTGATTATACATGTTATATTTTTTTTAGATGAAAGAGATTCTATTCTCTTGTAATTAAAGAAGTTAGTGTAAATATAATTTTCTTGCTATACAAAACTTATAGATAGCTCCAGAAGAGCATTGCAGAATAAGAGCTGCATAATAGAAGTAATAAAAGTCTCATAAATATTGAATATTTTGAGATGATAGTTATTATAGACAAATCCTTATTGTTTAAGGTGTCACTATTAATGTTTAAGATACCAGTGGAAATGAATATTACATGGCACTTGATCGAGATTTTTTTATTCACGTAAACCAGAAGTTTATTGAACTAATTTTTTTTATTTTAAACATAACCAATTAAATTATCACGATTTAGTTTGTGATGTGAAAAAAAAAACATTAAGAACTCAAGTGAGTACTATTTGAAGGACTAGAAGTTTCTGTTATTACTAGGACCAGAAGATCCTATAGTCTTGTTCTCATTAGAAGATTATTATGAGATTATTACTAATGAAACTTGAGATTCATTTCATACATATTTAGAAATTGTTCAAGGATAATTGATTGGGCCCATCAACTATTCGTGATGACAATTTATATGTTTTATATAATGCATCGTTATATTTGTCATATTTGTTGACAATTAATTCGTAATCCGGAGTTTATGATATTTGTCCATATATTATATTATGGACACATTTTATAGGTTATGTTGAACATCATTAGTCACAAAAGAGCCTGCAGTTCTAGTTAATATGCAAAGTGCATCGAATTAGTGGCTATACTTTGATTATGAGAACAAATCATTTTATACTAGATTTTGAATCTTCATTTATGTGGTAATCATTTGGAGCGGATGCTTAATGGGCTTAAATTAAGATAAATTATCAAGATACCACAATGGTAGGTAGACACTGAGGGAAGGTTTTTGAAGGAGTTGAATGGAAGATAAATTCCATGACATATGCGAGATTACATATATTCTTCAATTAAAGAAGATGTGAACCTGAAGTTCAAGAAAGAAGATTGTACTAAGATATTGCAAATAAAGTGCTCATTATGAATTTTATGTGTCAATTGTAAACACTTTGGTTAGAAGTGAATTCTTGGTATTTTCTCAACCATAAAAAAATGGTCTTATTATAAGGAACATGTAGTTCCAACATATGAGAACCTGAAGTTCTCCTTCACATGTATTTTATATACACATGTTCATTTTTATAAATCCTTCCCTATAAATAAAATGTCAAATCTT